CAAGTAGGTTGGGGTAGCTTGAAACGCTTCGCGTCGCCTCTGCCCGGCTGTACTTGAAGCAGGTGCATTGTTTCGGAAAGCAACGGGTAAACATGCTAAGCATGACACCACCTCATACTCTACTGTTTCAGGGAATAAACTCAAACAAAGGGATGCAATAATGCGAAACCTAGCCATGCTGATCGTTGATAGAAGAAGCCCGAAATCACATGCATCTATGCATATATGCATATGTGTGTATATATATATATATATGCGCATATAGATAGATAGAGTGCTAACGTTCTCGGGCAGAATCTGGGGAAATCCGGCAACCATGGGTCGGGAATAGAGGAGAGTTTTTCAATCAGATGCGGGGGGGCAGTTTTCAGATAATTTTCAGGAACACCTACGGCAAAAGGTTGGGAATGGTAGGGGGGGAGGGGACTACGAACGTATGTGCATTTACATGGCGTGTGAAAATGCATAGCGATCTCTCTCTTCGATCTTGTGTTACTGGGTGATTTTACCTTTGCTGAATGCAAAGGAAAGGGTTTAGGGTTTAGAGTTTGGGAATAAGGGTTTTAGGGTTTAGGGTTCGGGAAGCGTAGGGGCCGGTGGACAAAAATGCTTTTCGATATCTCTCTTCGTTCCTGTGTCACTGGATGATATTTACCCCTGCTGAAGGCAAAGGAAGGAGTTTAGGGACTAGGGTTTTAGGGTTTGGAGTTTAGGGTTTCCAAATGTGCTTTCGTCTATGCCCGATGGTCTGCAAAAGATGTGTCTCTGTTCCCGATTTTACTCCTGCGTCTTCATGAAAATCCCAATGCCGATGCTGAACATGGACCCGTGAAAATTTCATCACCATATATATATATATATATATGGTCCCCCCCCCCCCCCCCGTGACAGACCATCCCCTTCAAAACATCGCTCCCACCGGCGTGTTCGTGCTTTTTCCGGGGTATCGAGTTTGAGCCCTCCGAACGTATCCCTGGAACCACCAAAAGACTGAGACCAGAAAGCAGCACGATAAGGCGCGCGGGCGTCCTACCAAGAAAGGAATTACAGAGCACGCGTGTATGGATGAGGGTTGTGCTGATACACTACATAGTAAGCACTACACAGTAATCTTACTTGAGTCATATATAGAGCAGATTCCAGCATTTCCAAAATTTCCAAAATTTCCAAAATTCTCTCCCCTAACTTTCCGGATTTCCAAAATTTCCAAAATTTCCAAAAAGTCCGCCCTTATGTTTTGGAAATATCCTGTCGACTAGGTCGGGAAATTTCGGAAATTTTGGAAATTTTGGAAATTTGGAAATTTTGGAAATTTTGGAAATTTTGGAAATCCGGAAAGTTAGGGGAGAGAGTTTTGGAAATTTTGGAAATGCTGGAATCTGCTCTATATATGACTCAAGTAAGATTACTGTGTAGTGCTTTTAACACTAACGTTGACATTTATATTAATGCTTTTATTACGAATATGCACATTACTAATACTATTATTAACATTAATACTCCTACGCCTACCAATAGTCATATTCATATTGATATTAATGCCAATACTAACAGACACCTGCGTATACTAATGTCCGCAGATATACATACCACTATCTGAAAAGCAAATATGTCACTGCATTCGTGTACTAACGTAGTATATTCGTATTTAATTTGTCATATACCCAGTTTCCAACGTGACAATATACTACTTGTTAACGTCTGATTATACTGTATTGATATGCTAACTTGCTAAGACACGAATACTGTAATATGCAAGTACACTGACACATGGCAATGGTATACTAACATATGGATATACCAAAAAAGTTGTTAGATAATATACGAATATGATAAATGAAGTAGCATACCAGGATACTCATACACTAATATGTTAATAATCGAAGATAATAGCACACCAATATACTAATGTACTCATGCACGAACGTACGCATGCATTAATATACTAAGAGCATACAAACATACAGGTATACAAACATATTACTGTTCGAATACATTATAATGTGTTGGTATACTAAGCTGTTTATATAATCTATCAGTATACTAATATATCAAAACTAATTATAGTATTGATACGCATACTAGCACGTCCGCGAATATTACACTGATGTTAAATTCATCATTAAGACTGATTAAAACTGACATCGACATTGGCACTGGCATTAACACTAAATATCACTAAATATGCTAGTGTACTAATATACGAATACTGTAAAAGGCAAGTACACTGACATGTTCACATGCCATTATGCCAACATATTGATATACCTATAAGCTATTAGGTAAAATACGAATATAGTAAATGTAGTAATAGACCACTATGATAATATACTAATATACTACTACAACGTTAACATACGAATATCATGATACGCCAATATACTAATGTACTCATGCACCAACGTACTAATATATTCGCGCAATCTTCAACTATGCAAATATACTATTGTTCGAATACATTACTGTATTATATTAAGCTCAAAATGTACGAATCAATCAGTATATTCACATATCAAAACTATTTCTAATACTGATACTAATACCAGCACTTCTGTGAATAATAAACAGATACTAAAACCAGCATTCAGACTGATACTAATACTAACACGAGTACTATTACTGACATTGACATCGACACTGGCACTAACACCAGCACGAACATAATCACGAGTTCATATTTACTATTATTGATATGTATACTTTTATTCAATACTAATACTAATACTGATGCTAATACTAATACTAAATACCAATACCAATACTAGTACTAAAGCAATACCCATCCTAATATCAATACTACCACAAAACTATTACTCATATGAACACTGATACCAGGATTAGGACTACTACAAACAATGACAGCAGTACTAAGAATAGAACCAAGAACAATACATATTAATCCTAACACTAATACTAGTACTAATACTAGCTACTAATTCTAATACTCATACTCATACCAATACTAATGTCACCACTACTGCTGCTACTACTACTGCTACTACTACGACTACTACTACTACTACTACTACTACTACTACTACTACTAGTACACATACTTAATACTAAAACTAATACTGATACTCATACTAGTCACTAATACTAATACTCATACTAATACTAATGCCAATACTAATGCTACCACTACTACTACTACTGTGCGACAACTATTGCTAGTACGACGACTACTATTATTAACATCAGTACACATACTTAATGCTAATACTAAGAGTAATACTAATTCAAATACTATTACTAATACTAAACATCCTAATATCAATACTACCACAAAACTAATACTAATGCTAACACTGATACAAGAATTAAGATCTACAAACAGTAATAGTGGTACGAAGAGCAGAATTGAGATTAAGATTGGGACTAGGAGCGCTGCATGCATGTGAAGAAATTTCCGAAAATTGCAAACCATCTAAAAGAACATTTTGGAATTGAGTTTGGGAGAAGTGTCTGTCGCCTATCCGTTGACAGATCCTGCCTGGGGACGCACGCCACCCTTCCCCTTCCCCACGACGGTCTGTCATGGGGGGGGGGTGAGCATATATATATATATATATATATTTTTTTTTTATCTTTTTATTTATTTATTTATTGATTTATTTGTGCATTTGCATATACTCGCATATGTATTTGCACCTAACTCGCAATCTGTCTGTCTATCTATCTGTCTATCTACCTAAATCTGTAGATATATGTACATATGGGATGGGCGCCGCGCTCCATGCAAGGCACACTACCAGAATGTACTTCGAAACAGTGTGTGTGTGTGTGAGTGTGTGTGTGTGTGTGTGTGCGTGTGCGTGTGCGTGTGCGTGTGCGTGTGCGTGTGCGTGTGTGCGCGGGTGTGTGTTTGTGTGTGTGTGTGTGCGCGCGCCTTACATCATGCAAAGCTCAAGAGCAGACACCGAATATGCAGTACAATTAGCATGACTGATCTTCACGCGCTAGGGTTAGGCAATCGTCGTAAAGGTTAGTGTCGTACAAGAGAACAGGACATGATTGCGTTTTTCAGGTTGCAGCATCCGTTTGTACCCTGATTCGTGTTTACTTGTCTATCCTTGTCCTGTGCGTCTACAGAAGCCCTGCCTGTAGCCGGATTTGAAGCAACCTGTTGTGGAATATGTGCCAAACACAGGCTTCGGTCACAGATTTCCGTTTGCAGGGTTGCGATTGGCGAAGCAAAAAATGCTATGTCTTCCTGCTTTGATCCTACATCCTAAGCCTCTCCGAGACGCCTCAGCAGCGAGCCTTGCAGATACGGGCTCCTTTATTGCCAGTCCCAACCCCAAATCCTAAACAGGTTCCTCAAAGCTGGATGAACAGCACAATTTGGGTTGTTTCGGATGGTGCAGCAATACAGCACATAAAACTTGCGTGGGTCCCACGGCTTGGGTACTGAAGATCAGGTTTGCGCCAGGTAGACATGGTTGTGTCCGCCCTGGCCTTTTCCAAAAGCATTTTGGGCCGCTGCCGTCCAATGCAACGTTGCCGTATTTGAGTGCCACTTAGGACGAGTGTGGCGCACCCGATTCTGAGAGAGCTATAATGCCTATCTTAAGAAGATGTGTCGAGTAGAAGCTCCAGCTTCAAAGGTTTCTAGCTCGGGTTGTGGGTGCCGCAATGCACAACAGCCTGCGGTTTTGTAGGCTACTTATCGCAGAGCGCGGAAGCAGTCAGTAGCACGAAAATCAAAGCACTCATTTGTCAGGGCCTCACAGTAGTGCCAGCCACAGTTGCCAAAAATGACATGCTATTAAAGACACTCAGGCTATGAATCTCTTGAACTTCTTGGGGGAACTTATAACACGCACGCACGGTGTCGTAGAAGGTTATGCCGACCATGGCCATAGTTCATGCGATGCGATGTTTCTGCATGTCTCTTGCTCTCCTTTGGATGCTAGACGTCTGGGGCCCACACGCACACATGGCGCCCCGAAATACCGGAACCCGAAACCAACAAGTACATGGTTGTGTGCCTGCGTCAGGAGGGTGCTTATCCCCGCTTCCTGAGCGACTATCGCGAGGTACGGCGGGTGTGAATTCAGGGTCCAAACATTGTCGGCTGCGAAAGCAAGTCTTTCGGTCCGTGATTATATAATATTTGGTTATTTAGACCCTTTTTTCATCTTCGTGCTTTAGCCAGAATTGGAAATGTGTAATGGTGTAAAAACCTTACGAACACCAAACCCATCCAAGCTTTCTAAAGACTTAAATCCCGCCACCGTAACAACCTGAAGACCTAGACCGCAGAACCGTCAAGCCTGACCGCCTGAAGCGAGCAAACTTGAAACCTTGTGGCCGTGAACCGGAGCATGGTTGTGTCTGTTGGAGGTCTCCGAATACAGACTCCGTTAAGGTTTCTTTTCGGGTTTCTTTATGTACGGCTTCTTTCTACAGCTCATCTTGAGGATTCTTGTAAAGATTCTTGTAAGGGTTAGTTTTTGGGTTGTTTGCTTTCTCCGAGGTCCCCGAAAAAGAAGATATGCCGATCGGTTACACCACTTTCTTTCGAGAGGGTCCGGTAAAGGGACTGGGGAAAAGGGTTTTCCCGAAATTGACCGTTTCCCAACTACTATTTGCTTAAGAACCCCCAAAAAATTAAAAAATGTATTCCTTATGGGGCTAATATAGGGATTATATTAATTTTTTTTTGGGGGGGGTTCTTAAGCAAATAGTAGCAAGGACCTTAAAGTCTACGCGAGACTGAATGGCCAGCAGGAGCGCGACGGGGCGGGCGAGAGTGTCTACCTGCCGGGATCTTGGACTCAGCCCATGGGGGAAGAAGGTGTTGAGTGTAGTGCCGTTTTTTGGCTGTCTTTGTCAATACGAAACTGGTGCGATGTTTTCGGTGTAGGTATTATATGGCTCGCAATAGCAAATAAAGGATAGTAGACTTGTTTCATACTGTCACCGTTGTTAAACTTTCCTCTCAAACCTTATCCTGGTTACTGAAGCCCCCATACTATTTTGTATATCTTATACTATAGCTATACTTTGCAATATAGCAGCTACTACATACAAAATCAAATACATACTTGTAGCGCACAAACACAATCAGCGCATGTATATGCATACATACAATATAGTACGAACGTTCAGTTATAATCAGGAACCCCCAAAATAGGTTTATTCAGGCCCCTACATTAATTAGTAGCTGAGTGGATACACTTCACACTTTACACTTTTTGGGATAATATCACCCGCTATAAAACTGAAAGTGTACACTTTGGGGGGCTTATGAATTCAGCAACTAAGGTTACATTCTCATACGAAGCCTCGAAGCCCCGAAACCGTAATGCCCGAAGCTTCTTTCAGATCAGGTGCCAGCACCCGAACGTACTTCAAGTTCTCCTAAACCCCTGGGTATCAAAATAGCCCAAAAGCCTTATATAGTATGGTCTTTGGGCCCAAAAGCCTTAATATATGAGTCCTTATGTAGATCCCTAGGGAAGCAGGGTCCGGAATTAGGGATCCTGGCTAACAAGAATGCTGGGGGAGCCTGCTTCGACGCACAACATGATCCTCCACTCTTGAAACAATCCCGGAGCCTGCGATTCCCGACTGGCCGACGGAGTAGAGTAATATATATATATATATATATATATATGTACATATTTATATATATATATATATGATACATATATACAGATGTATACATAAATAGATGTACATATGATGGACTTCATGAACGATTCGGATTACTGTGCGACGTAGGTGGTCGACTCTACCTGCAAAATCTTCGACGCCAACTTGAAGTTCGCTGTCGGCGAGTCGGTCTCCTTTCAGGAGTTGTCCAACTCCCAAAGGGGTGCGACGTTGCATTTGCCAAGAAGTTCGAAAACGACCCGGGGAAGGTGACGGACTTGGCGCCCCAATAAAGCCCCCCAACCCAGAACCTTTGTAGAACCTTGATAAAACTCTTGGCATGAACCTTGTAGTAAGCCTGTTAGGTATCCTGTATACATCTACATCCCAGCATCGACCCCTAGACATAGTTCCAGGCACCTCTACGACTTGAATGACACCTTTGCACACATGAACTCAGCGACCTGGCCTTCGCGGTTGCTTTCAGTGTCCTAGGGTTCAGGGGTTTAGGGTGTTAGCGCTTTAATTTGCGCGGTTTAGGGTTTAGGGCATTCGGGGTTTGAACGGTTTAGGGCGACTTTCGGGGTTTGGGGCTTTGGGTTTAGGGGTCCGGATTAGGGTTTAGGGGGCCGGATTCGGGTTTAGGATTCGAGGCTGAGGGTTTCTGGGCTTCCTCTTTGTTTAAAAGGAGAGCTGTAGGCTTTGAAGGTTGTTGGATCTAGTCAAGGGCCAAGTTTGTATTTTTAGGGGGCGTGGTTGTTAAAGAACAGCGAAGGTTTTGGATTTGTGGCCTCAAGGCTCGAAGGTGTTTAGATTTAGGTTTCTTGTGTCGTGCATTCGTGCACGCATGCATGTAGACATGTCAGCGCATGACATTTCAAGACATCACAGTGTGTGAGCTTACATCACATCACGTAAGGTATACGTACGCCAACATACATACCTAAACAAGCGGATATAGGTGCGTAGGGAAATACAAAAACACGGATGCAGACAGAGAGATATGCAGCACCTGCAGCAGCATGCATGCAGGTTTCAATCAAGCTTCGGCTACCGAAGAGATGTGTCTGGAAACGCTCTGCTACACTTGTAAAATTTCAATACTGTGGGAACCCGATTTAGAAACCTTGGCCCTAAAATCCCAAAAAAATTAGCATCCGCACAGAAAAAACTAAGAAAGACCGAAGGTTTCTTTATGCAATAGGCCAGCATATAGAAGCACACAGGAAGCCTTCGAAAGCAACAAAACCCTATAGAAGCCCCCAAAGTCCGGTACCAAAACCTCTGCAATCGCTGCCAGAGTATGGGACCTGTCAAAACCCGATTCGTTGATTTCGGGTTTAGGCCTTACCTTAACCATGAAGCACCTACCTGTTTAAAGACGTATAAAAGGAAATCATAATAAGGAACCCTAAAAAGGTAGGTTGTTCAGGGTTAAGGTAGGGTTTAGGGTTTAGGGCTGTTCAACACCTTTTTTCGTTTTTGCTTTGGTGACCAGGTGTCTCTGGACTTGTTCGGCATCGGCGGGGTCGTGCATGTGGGTGTCGAGGCACAGCGGTCTCTGGGGTTTCATAGTTTTAAGATTAAGTTCCCTTCAGTTGTCTTCGGTTTGGATTTACAGATTCAGGGTCTATAGGGATGTCTTGTTTCGAAACTGTTTTTTGAAAGGATGTCCGGAGTCTGATTATCGCTAGCATGTACAAATGGCACCGAGTAGCGAAACTAAGATCTAGCGTTGACGCCAAAGACGCAGCACTCTAACCCTTACCCTGAAACCTTCCCTAAGGGTCCTAACAAATTGGGGATCCTCAAAATTGACGGTTTCTGAGACCCCAAAGAGACCCAAGGACTCTCCCCAGAAGATTCCGGACCCTCCTAAGGAGATACCTGGACCCTTAGGGTAAACTTGACACTGTCAACCTGTACACCCTGTGAAATGTCTTGCGGCTAAGATGGCATCAGAGGAACTTGAACCATCAGCAAAATAATCAGGGCAGACACGCATATGACACTATAGTGAGACACTTGGCTAAGGATCTTTGTAAGTTTTAGGGTATACCTTAACCCGGAATAACCTACCTTTTTGAGGACTTGTATAAGGAAATCATAATAAGGAACCCTAAAAAGGTAGGTTATTCAGGGTTAAGGTAGGGATTGGGGAGGGCCTAGGGAGTTTAGGCAGTATAGGTTTTTTGTTTAGCAAGGCAGCCTTCATGGTTCGTTTTTGCACCACTCCTTCTCCAACTAGTAAAGCTTGGTTAGGGTTTAGGGTTTAGGGTTATTCTCAAGGTCGGAACTGTTGTATTTGGCGGGAATAGCTAAAGCATTGAAGTACAGTATGCATGCAGTACATGCGGAAGCACAGAATACTGCGATCGAAGTGAAGCGGGGGGAAGGATGCCAATCTCGGCTGGCAGGTGCTGGGCAACGAGTGGTCCTTCGGCATGCAGGCACCCGGATTAGGGCTTAGGGTTTCCATCCTAAATGCGTCAAAATTTGTATGCGGTACCTTGCTGTCAGGCGATTCCCAAACCCGAAACCTTTCACTCAGGTACTGTAAGTTCGCAATTCGAAGCACATGTCTAGTCCTGGGCGAATGGGTGGGGACCTGTCCTTAGTAGCTGAGAAGTAGGTAACCTTTTACCTCTTTGGGGTTTATGTAATCCCACCAAAAGCTCTGGGGTAAACCTTTCTCAGCCTCTAAGTTTCTAGGCCTCAGACAAGGCGGAAAGAAAGCTGGAAAGGAGGGTTCGCCGTAGGGTACCTGCCCAAAAACCCAAACAAGGAATCAGAGGCCCGAAACCCCTCAGCTCCGAAATCCTAAGCCCGAGACCCGCAACAATCCTAACGGCCCGAAATCCAGCTCCAAAAGCGGGGGGGCCAGGGCGTCTCCATCACTACGCCGAAGCAGAATCAGCAGCTTTCCTTCCTACAGGGGCAGGAGGGCTTTAGGGTTTAGGATGGTTTAGAGTTTAGGGTTTGGGGGACGACGATCTACAGCTATAAGCGCACAAACTCTCGGGGTCAGTTTGGCTTTTCTTTGCTTTCTTATTTGGGTCTAAGGGGCTTGTAGGTATGCGGGGGCTCAACATATTGGAGTATGTAGGGTTCCCTTGAGTTTGGGGTGCATGAGTGCACTTACGGCTTAGATGCTAGTTAATTGTTTCTCCCTATTTGATATGCATCTGCAAGAGGCTGAAAACGCCGGTCTCACTCCTAAGCCCGGCACCGTGAAACCCTTTGCGGGAGAGCATCCAGAGTCGAAGTGTTTGCCTAGACACTAGTATTGAATACGAGGCCTGAGGGTACACCGCAGTAGAAACACTGCGCGGCCTCTACGCGGAAAACTAGTGCTGACCATCGACACATCCTGGCACCCCCTCTTTCAGGATAAGCTATTATTGAGCTGACCATACCTGATACCCTACGGCGGGCAGCGAGACTTACATGAAGCTTCGACCACAGCGATGCCACCTCCTCCGAATCCAAGAGGCAGCACCGATAACAGAGCCTGAAGCCACAAGTCCGAAGCCCTGCAACCCTGAACTCCCCAGAGAGCCCAATACCCCTTAATTAAGGGAATATAGCTATAAGGTTCCTTTAAAAGGGGTCTAAAAGGGATCTATAAGGGATCTATAGGGATTAGGGTTTCCGATACCCCTTAATTAAGGAATATAGCTTAAATCATACTATGAAGCCCTATATAATTTAAGCCGTATTCCTTAGTTAAGGGGTATTGGGCTCTCTGGGTCTTATAACCCACATCATACCCCGCGACCTCTACATGTCCTAGACCACCCTTAGATGTTTGACCGTTTTCATTTTGTTGGCACCATAAAGCCCAGCATGAACAAAAGCTCCGGCATGTCGCCGTGAAACAGAACTCCTGACAATAGAGGAGCAATGGGCTTGTTGATTCTGGGATAGACGGAGTTTCGTGGCAAACTCGTGGCCCTAAGCCCCAAACACGACACGCTCCTTACACTTTGCTTGGCTGGGCGAGGTATTACACCTTTCGGCAGACGGCCCGGGTCCTGGCAGCACCCTACCTACACCCTTGCCGAAACCGTCTATTAACGTAACCCTGAGAGGGCTTGAATCAGCCTACAAAATCCGGTGATAGAACTCTGGAAAAGAAGCCTAGCCCTTCATGAACACTCCAGACTTTCTTCTCGAACAGTTTTCCTTAGTCCAGCCGGTTGGCGAAGGATCAGTGCAGTGTCGTAAACTTTAGACTCTTTCGAGACCCCCGTTAAGCAGGTTTAATTCAAATATGTGAGCGAACAGAACTCTAAAGCATCATAGTATACGGTGCTTAGCTACATAGCAGTGTAGAGGGCAATTGAGTCAAGTGAACCGCCCTGTAAGCATCGCAGATTTCACAAGCGATTAATCTAATTCTTGACAAAGAACCCTATGAAGACTCTATCGTCCCATACGAGATAGTTCTCGTTTGCGTTCACAAGTCAGACCAGTACTTCTCTGTAAATGGAACAGTACATCCCAAGTGAACCATCCAGAGTACTGGGGTGCGGAAACTTCTTTCCACGCGTTGTAGAGTTGCAAGACATCCAGTCCAGCCGGTAAGAAGGAGTCTAGCCAAGATCCAGCGCACTGTTTCGCAAGTGCCAGACTCTCCCGTTAAGCAGTTGTCTTTCAAGTCTGCAAGAACCCTAAACCCTAAACGCTAAACCCCTAAACCCTAAACCCCAAAGCCTCCAAGCAACGAAGCTTCTAAAGCACTAACCCTGATATTCGGGGCTCGACTGCAGAACTGCTTGAGCTGCCCCCGAGCATCGCAGATTTACTAGTTTAGTGTTTGTCAAGAACCGTCATGCCTTACAGTCCCACCCGCACTAAGCGCCCTTTTACACCAGCATTTTTCCGTCGGAGCAGGGTATGTTTTCAGATTTGTTGGTGGTGAAGAACGCATACATGGTTTTGTTGAGAGATCAACACATGTGCTTGTTGTGCTTCTGAGATGTGATTCTTTTTGTGCCAGCGAAGAGGCACAAACGAGGCGGTGCTGGTGCCACTGGTCATGAGGATGAAGCGAAAGGTTCCATGATGATGGCGGCTAATGATTATGATGGTGAAGCTGTTCATGAACATGAGCATGCTTATGAACATGGAGATGGTTGCGGACGTGAAGATGCATAATTACGAACATGAAGATAATCACGAACACATTAAGATAATCACGAGCATGATGGTGATGATGATGGTGACCATGGTAATAACGATATTGATGATACCGAATACCGACAATTAATCAAAGATGGTCTGTGTGCACGCTTCATGTACCCAAATGAACCCTATAGGTCTTTGCCACAACCCCAAACCCTGATACCCCCAGACCCATCTAGACCCTTATTACCCTAAACCCTAAACCTCTTCAGCCCTACAACACTGACCCTAAACCGTAAGCCAAACTCTCAACTTTACATCAAACCGCCCTAAACAAGGACTCGCAAAACAACTCAAATCACCCAGGTCACCATGGGCCGCTCGGGACTTCGGCGGAAAGAGGCCCGGGCCTCCGAAGGATCAAATTGCTCCCAAGGTGGGATGGAGGTAGAATTACTGTGGTTCTGGGGTAAGTATACGAATGCGGTTCTGAGGTAAGTATACGAATGTGGTTTTGGGGTAAGTATACGAATGTGGTTTTGGGGTAAGTATACCATATTTTTGCTTAGAACAGGCTGGGGCATTCCCAAGTCCTTAACCCTACCGACCTGCATCCCAGCATTTCAGAAGGATCGGGGAAGGGTGAAGAAAGGGGCCTCAAAAAGTCACAAAAGGGCTTGGGGGATATTTTGTTCTTATATTTATACTTACAATTGGAATCGGGCCTTGGGGATATTATACTACAAGTATAGTGAGGAACCCTCAAAGTAGTATTGGTAATTGAAACGCTTCGCGTCGCCCGCCTCGGCCCGGCTGCACACGCATGTGCCAAATAATTATCATCCTGTGGTCTGCGTACAGGAGCCTGATTTAGAGAACTTGTTGCATCTCCGAATCCTGTGCCTGATATTCGACATACCCCCTAGCTGGGCAATAGCGATGCTTGAATCTCCGATGCCCGCAATCCGCCAAAGAGTTAACTCGTGGAGCCCTGCACCGTACTGCTTAAAGCCTTCAATGCCAAATGTCCGAACCTGTAAGTTTTGTGGCAAGTTTCAGTTTCTGAACCCTGTACCGTGGCAGTGCGGGAGGGGGTGGGAGGGGGGGGGAGGGGGGGGAGGGGGGGTTTAGGGTGGTTAAGGAAGAATCAATCAAGGGTTTGTCATATTATAGTGGTCGAGTATGGTTTGTTAAGGTTTAGGGTGTAGGGTGGTTCGGGAAGCATCAGGGGGGTGGGTTAGTCTCATAGTGGTTGAGTCGGGCTTTTAGGGTTTAGTGTTGGTTTTGATGGCGGGGACGGTCGGTTGAGGGTTTATGGTGGCTGAGTAGGTGACCTCTGGTGTTTTGTTTTCCGGGAATGGTATAACATCCATGTGCAAACCCGAAACCCTGAAATCCTGAACCTTACCACAATATGCAGGTTGACCTGTTTGGGGCCGTGGCTCAGGGAACTCAGCAAGACTGCAAAAAGTAGTGGGTGGAAATACAGACATAAATTAGGGAACCCAATCAGCTGTTCATGGTTGAGAATGAGCTGGGAATAATGAAACTATGACAACGGTAGGGTTTCTTTCAATGACAACAGTTTTCATTGTCGTCGTTACAAGTCTTGTTGTCACATAGTAGCGCTTACATTCCCAGACCTGGGAGGATCTAGAAAGTAGATCCCCTAATTTGGGGCCCTATACTACTAAGGGTACTTAATAGGAACCCCCATTAAGGGATCTACTTTTTGGATCCTCCCGGGGGTCTGGGTTAGGATGTCGCATCGTACTCGCATCTTGAGCCAGCCATCCTGACCCGGCCCAGGACCCTCTCTAGGGTTATCTGCCCCAAGTACCCTGACTTGGGGTGATTTTGTCGTCAAGGCGGAAGGTCTTAGGGTAAAGCTCTTCAAAAGACGCAGAAACCTACAACCCTAAACCCTTTAACCGCAAGCCCTTTGACCCCAAACCCCATAACAGCCTAAGCCATATTGCGCCAAACCTTATCACCCTGTAAAGCAGGTCGAAGGCGTGATCCTGGCGCTGAAGCGGCGCTGGTCAGGCCTGTCTCACAACGCGCTCTCTTTCCAGTGCGGGGGAAGTTGGGCTGAGGTTCGGGTTTGGAGGATTGGGGCTTTCGGGTTTTAAGGCTTCCTTTGAGGGATCTTTAGGGATCTATAGGGGGTTCCTTTAAACGGCCCAAATAAGAGTTACTATAAGGATCTAGTATAGGGGGTTGGGTCATTTTGGTGGGGGTCCGGGTTTTGGGGGATACAGGTTGAGAGCTTATGAGGGGATTGCAGGTTGAGGGCTTTCTGGGTTTAGGTAGACCCTGAGCATTGGGTTTTAGCGCGCTTGGGGTAGCATAGCATATGCATACTGGGGCTGGGCATGGGTTCCAACGTATATATACATGTGGGAACATAAACCCTTATGGATCGGCTCATTGAGCTTTTGCTCTCTGCTGGGTGTGGGGTTCAGGGTTCTGGATGAAGGGTTTAGGGCAGAGTTTGGGGTGTTGCGTCAGCAGTCGGAGTGGCTGCAAGAAAATGCCCGGTATAGCAACAGACTCTTGACAACGATCACTACACCATTCAGACCAAAGCCCCAAGATCGACAACCAGGTAAATACTAAGCCCGGAACCCTAAACCCCGAACCCTTAAACCCCAAACCCCCAAACCCTATATGGGAGTTTCCGAAAATAGGGGACCTAGTATAGTACCCTAAAAAGTATGATCCTTATGACAAGGACCCCAAAATAGGGTATCCCTGATTTTCGGAAACTCCCATATATAGAACCTAAACCAACAGCTGATGCACTAGCACTTTGGAGCACTGCGTGGCTTGAGGTGTTGACTACGACCTTTTGGAACGGAACTGTGGGCACTTCTGCAACGAGCTGTGCCAAGCGTCTGGGCCTCGGGATCGAAGAGCTACTGTTTGCTTAAGAACCCACCAAAAATAAAAAATATATCCCTTATGGGGGTAATATAGGGATTTTATTTTTTATTTTTTGGGGGCTTCTTAAGCAAATAGTAGTGCAGCGATACCGTTATTTGTTGGGGGGGTCCTTGCTAGAAGTCTAGCATAATATACCCCGAAACCCTATTCTAAAGATAGAGGGTCCTACCTAGCTGATAGAAGTATTAGGCACCTCCATTATGAGGATGTCTAGCGGACGTTAGAAGGGCTTGAAGAGCTAGCAGCATAATAACCCTGAGGCTACGATATTATTTACAAATTTACAAGCTACTCTAATTGTTCCGGCCCGGAAATATATATATTAGCCTAGAATCAAGTCTAAGTGAAAACTTAGCTGAACCTGAGCCCTCTAAACCAAAAAGCAACAAGGCCCTAAACCTCAAACCAACAATTGAAACAGCCTTGCCACCGATTGAAACATCTCCTGTGAAGCCTGAATGCTCGAACCATTTTGAAGCCTTCATGTGAAAACATGAAAGAAAATGGCAAGCAACCCTCAACCCCCACTCTGAGACCTACTGTTGCGGGGGAGGGCAAAGGCAAAGCCCATTGCACTTCAAATGCCAAACCCTCATCCCTGACCTCTAACCATACCTGGGAGTTTCCGAGAATAGGGGACCCTAATAGTACCCTGAATAGGATTTTAAGGACCCCAAAATAAGGTACCCCTTACCCCCAATTTTCGGAAACCCATACCTGAACCGTAACCAGCGCACTCTAAACCCTGAACCGCCCAGGCTTGGTGTGGGACGCATGCCGAACTGGGTCACCCGGGTGGCCGAGGCAAGCCAGGGATAGGATTGATGTTTCCGAAACCAGGGGTACTTTGAGGCCTTTACAATTAACAGGAGTCCTACTATTTAGGGTACTATAATCAGGTCTCCTAAAGGGAACTCCAGAAAGTTGGAATATGGATTAATCGTAGGATCCCCTATAATTTACCGTAAAGGGGTTACGATAATGATATTCCAACTTTCTGGCTTCTACTGTACGTACTTGCGGAAACCCCAAGGAGCGAGCAATACTGTTTTGCTGGGTTCCTTATTGCAGTTATCTTGTAATGTAAGCCAAAACCCTATTCCAAGCGTTGCGACCCTACAGTAGTGTTTTGAGACTTTCGATTTCTCCGACAGGCAACCGTTCAAGACGGCCAAAATGGGTTCTATGATGTTTTGGTGGTTTGGTATGTACTGCGCAATACCATTAGGGTCAGAGTTTATGTGGTTTAGTGTCTTTTGATTGTTGAGGCTACGGCAGGTTGCTTTTCAGTGGGTATTTTGTTTGTGACGGCTTCAAGGTTTTACTTGAGTGTTCACGTAACCAGTTCCTTGCCCGGAATAGTTTAACAGACCACCAACCGCTATTCTAAGTACTATCTTAATTGCTACGATTATTACAGTTATCGCTATATATTCTTACCATTAGTATTTGTCATCTTACGGCTGCAGTCCATTGGCAATGCCCCCAGCATCAAGTTCTCGAACCCTGCCTTAGACACGGTTTGTCGAATGTTTAGGGCTTCGGGGTTCAGGGTTAGATGAAGGCGCATCGTAGATTATTCTAGGGGCATGTAGCAGTTACCATAAGAAGGACTTCGAGAAACATTTTTGTCCATCTTAGGAGTCCCTGCACCCCCCTAGAGCTTAAACATTGAACCCGGACACCATGAACCATCAAAGTGCCGTTTAAAACTCTGTAAGGCCTTTCGTGAACCTCTGAAACATGCACAAACTTAGTATAGCCTTTTCGAACCTTCCACAACCTGCAACTATCAAACCGTTTGCCCTCAAGGCGATGGCATCAATGCCCGGCTCCCACACACTGCGCCTGTGGCTGCAAGACCCCACCAACGCAGACCCATTCAATGATCTCAACGACTCATGCGCTACATATTGTAGGGGCCTTTATAATTACCTATAGCATGTTGGGGGGGGTCCTTCTTGTAATTCTAGTATAGTGGGCCCCAGAACCCTATTCTAATTATTAAGGCCCCTATATTACTGGGTCGGGTAAACCGCGAAGAACTTGGAACTGTGAGATGAGCTTGCTAGGATGATTCTAGTCGGATCTGCTGATTGGTAGTACCCTAAATTAGGGTCCCGTTTAGGGTCCTGTTTGTAAGGTTGCCGTACTATTTCTGGGCCTGGGTAATGGCGGAAAGTCACACACATCGTCTCTACGAACATTGAACCCCTTGACAGGGGAGATTGGCCCGGACACCGCGTCCACTCTAGCACACACACACACACACACATGATGCGTATTTACAGCTTTGCAAAGTGTGACCACCAATGCGGGGGGCGCGCATGAGCTCGAGGTATATCGGAACGGCAGATGCCCAGGCAAAGCGCCAAACTACTCGCCTTGAAATCGTACATGCACATACAAAGCTCGATGTTTCCTGCTGGAGCTAAGCTCTTCACTGCTTGTGGAAAACCGAAAACTCTCCTTACTCTCGGAAAACTGGACTAGGCCACAATGGCTTCCTGCTGGAAATTCTACAGTTCTGAACCCACGTCCCCTAAACCTCAACTCTAAGAACGAACAAAACCCCCTAACGCCCAAGCACTAAACCCTTCAACTCCTCCAACTTCAACCCCGATCCTAAACTCCGAACCCCCGAAGCCCCTTAACCTTCAACCCCGATCCTAAACTCCGAAACCCCGAAACCCCGAAACCCAAAACCCCTAAACCTCTAAACCTCAAAACCCGAAACCCCTAACCCCCTAAACCCCAAACCTCCTCAACCCCTAGACCTTCAAGCCCGATCCCAAAATCCGCTAAACCCCGAGTTCCTAAGCTCCTATATTAAACCTTAACCTACCAAAACCTACTTGTTTGTAGGGTCCCTATAAATTCCATATTACGGTTTATAATAAGAACCTACAAAAAAGTAGGGTTTGGTAGTTTAAAAAATTATTATAGACCCCTTTACATAAAGGAACCCTGTATTCCACCTAAACCCTAAACCCTAAACTTTAAACCCTAAACCCTAAACCCTAAATCCTAAACCCTAAACCCTAAACCCTACCAAAACCTCGCGTCCCTGAACTGCGAGATCCTCAGCTCCCTTTCGGGTACTTAGTTTTAGAATAGAGGGTTCCTTTAAAGGGGGTCTTAAGTTAGAATAGAGGTTTCTTAAAGGGGGTCTTAAGTTAGAACAGAGGGTTCCTTTAAAGGGGGTCTTAAGTTCGAATAGAGGGTTCCTTTAAGGGGGTCTTAAGGTAGAATAGAGGGTTCCTTTAAAGGGGGTCTTAAGTTAGAATAGAGGGTTCCTTTAAAGGGGGTCTTAAGTTAGAATAGAGGGTTCCTTTAAAGGGGGTCTTAAGTTAGAATAGAGGGTTCCTTTAAGGGGGTCTTAAGTTAGAATAGAGGGTTCCTTTAAAGGGGGTCTTAAGTTAGAATAGAGGGTTCCTTTAAGGGGGTCTTAAGTTAGAACAGAGGGTTCCTTTAAAGGGGGTCTTAAGTTAGAATAGAGGGTTCCTTTAAAGGGGGTCTGAAGTTAGAATAGAGGGTTCCTTTAAAGGGGGTCTTAAGTTAGAATAGAGGGTTCCTTTAAAGGGGGTCTATAAGGGCTACTAAAAGGATTTAATAAAGAGCCTTAAAGTGTTCCCCATACATTTCTTGCGGCGGGTTCTTATTAGGTTTGATTTGTTTGTGCCAAAACATACTGCACAAACCTATCATACGTATCATATAGGGCCCTTGTACTAGCATATCTGAGGAAGAACTCCATCTCACGAGCCATCATGGAAGATGGTGCGCAGCCCAAGCCTTTCACGGGTGCAAGGTTTAGGTTCAGGGTTGTTTAGTCTTGAAGGTTTAGGGCCGGTTTAGCTTCGAGCCAGGCTGAGGTTCTGCGGTTTAGGGTTTAGAGGTTTAGAGGTTCAGAGGGGCAAAGAGGTGGAGAGGTCGAGAGGTTTAGGGTTTCGGTTTGGGTTCGGGGTTTAGGGCGCAGGGTCTAGGCCTTAGGGTGTAGGGCCGAAGGTGTCGGGCTAGAGTACCTTGCGCAAGGTTATGGTTTTGGGTTTTAAAGTTTGGGGTCCTTGAGAGTCTTCGGGGAGTATAATTCTGGTGCTGATCTTACTAGAGTTCAGCACGAGAGTTGCTTGCTTCGTGCTGATAGGCATGAATCCATAGCCCTAGGGGTCCACTAATTACGTAGGTCTTTGGGGCATTTTTGTATGCCTCGTTGGGCTCAACAGATTTACTTACTAGTTTTTCAGAGGGTTAAGGGTCCACTTTGGTTACAGTCGTAGAGTTGGTTTGCACTCAGCTTCGAAGTCTCTGACAGGTACGCCACGTCGGATGGATGAGGACGAGGACAGTTGAACCCGAAACGTCCCTTGAAAGTTCGGGTTCCGGCTTTGGGGTTTGAGGTTGGGGTTTTCAGATGAGATTTGAAACTGCTATTGCACAACCCTAAGGGTCCAAGTAGTCCTTATTTGTGGTTTTTGGTACCTAATAAGGCCCTAAAGTCCTATAATAGGGAGTACTTGGACCCTCTGGGCAAAAGTGTGTTCCATATTGTTGGGGAACTTTTCGGTATCATCGCGGTTCAATCAGCGCCACGTCACTTCTGAGGGGCCATACTGGATGCAAGCATGTTCACGGCTTTGCAGCGTTTAGGGTTCCGTTTTGACGGTTTGCGATAATTCAGGAAGCTTATCCTGCACATGTCGATAAAACACCTAATGGTCCCTTTAAACGGTTACTCTAAGGGATCTATAGGGGTTCTGTAATGGGGATTGTGGTAGGGAGCTTCAGAGAGACTTGGTGTCGGAATCAGTGGATCATCTCTAAGAAATCGTTTCTGTTCGGGGTTGAGATTGAGTGAGGGCATCTGGCCGCTGTTCGCAGCTGATCGACAACGTTCGGAAGTTTGCATCTGTATTGAGGCTCAAGAAGTTCGCTCCTTGTGCCAGTTCCGGCAAGGTGAACTTCGAAGCCATGCCTTTCCGTCGTACCGGTGCCAGATCATCCTTGGCAGTCTTTTGGGCGATGTTGGCTGCCATTGGCCTATGCTTCCAGCACCGCGGGCTTTCACTCCTCCAAGCGTGTCGGCTCGAAGGACAAGTTCGACTGCGCGAGCCGCAAATGAAGGCGAGGAGACCGGCGTTCAGGGCCACCTTAGTGTAAATCCTGTTCATGATGGAGTCATGGCGTACACCGAGCGCTATTGGGAGGAAAGTGCCGGTCCTTTCAACTTTGGTGTATGCACCGGTGCGGAGGTTGCTGGATGTGGAACTCCTGATGCATACTCTGGGCCATATCTTGAAGTAGAGATCGGGAACACTCGATGGGGCATAGGTGCCTATGGCGCAGTGGCCCACGATGACGACTCATGACGATGGCTGCGGCCCAGGGAGACTCTTTCGACGCTGATGAGTGAATGCAGATGGAAAACAGGTGACTGAATATTGCCCATTTGGTCATGAGATTGAACACCGGCTGCGATCAGCATTGCCTGCTTCAGGGCTCTAAATTTGCAGACGGCGCAAAACCCTCCGAGCATCCCTACATGTTTTATGCTGCAAGAGGAGGACTAGTAGCAACAGCAGTGACGAGAATGACAACCACAAGACCACCACCCCCGCCGCCACCACCCCCTGCTATAACAGCAACAGAGCGCTCTAAGGCCTACACTCCCCAGACCCCCGGGAGGATCCAGAAAGTAGATCCCCTAATTTGGGGCCCTACACGACTAAGGGTACTTTATAGGAACCCCATTAAAGCATCTACTTTTTGGATCCTCCTCAGGGGTCTGGGTCTTTTCTTCTATGACCTGCGAAGCCCCGAATCTCTATGGCGGGGCGAGGCCTACTTGGCCTGCACGCCGCCGGCAAGACCAGGCCATTTCGGACATGAGCTTGCCGGGAACTGGTAGTTTACAGTGAACCCCGTAAAGTTTGAAACCGGATTAAGGCCAAATAGTGCTGGGAGTCCCTTTTACATTACTCTGGAGGATTGAGGCTATTGGGTTTCCAACTTTTGGGCTTCTATTGTAAGGCTGCAGGGCTCCAGAGTTGCACGAGATTTTTGTATGTAGTGTTCTACATTGCTTGATCGGGCGTTTCAATCAAAGGACTGTAGTTATGGTGGTTTTGCAGGTTTCACGAGGGCTGTCGATAACGGGAATATTAGGGTGCTCCTGCGAAGCAATTTGGTAAATTGAAGTAGCCGGGTTTGGCTTCTATACGAGATTGATCTCGATTGCGTGTTTTCTTGGCGAGCGTCAGGGGAGCAAGGATTGATATTGAAATTGTTCGCAAGGGAACTCGTTGCGCTTGAAGCCCCAAAGCCCTACGTAAGCCTTGAGATGGCAAAGCCTTAGTCGAAGCCCCAAATGTAAGCAAAATAATCGCCCAACACTTTTAAAAGGCGATTGTTCTACATAACATTTGGGGTTTAGGTAAGCCCAAAACCTCAGCGAAGCGATTAGACCCTGAAGTGGCGGGCCTGGGATCTTGTTTAAAATATTCTCTTTAGTTACCATAATAAGGAAACCCTATTCTTCACTATAGATCCCTAAAATTGCAACTTTAGGAGCCCTTAAAAGAACCCCTCAGGGAACCTTAATTTATGGTAATTAGCTTAAGTTAAATCCCTAAACCCTTAAAGGAACCCTTAAGGGACCCTAAAGTATGGTAATTTAGATTAAGCCCCTTAAGCAAGAACCACTTGGAGGATCATGGGGCTTAGTAAGTAGGGTTATGAGTACCTTAATCGGGGTTATATGTAGTTGTAAGTAGAGGTACCTGAATTATAAGCCTAGTTACTAAGTCCTGTTGTCCTTCAAACAGCAGGGTCTCAGGAGGTCGTTGCATTCTTCAGCTCTTTGTAGCTGAGTGGATCCACTTTGCACTTTTTGGGATAATATTACCCAAAAGTGTACACTTCTTGGGGCTTATGAACTCAGCACTAAGCTTTAATGGGTAAATCGAGGGCTACCATAAGGGTTCCTTTGAAGGGCTCTGTAGGGGTTCAGGGCTTCCGAAAATTAGGGGTACCCCTTACCTTATTTTGGGTCCTTATAGTAAGGATCATATTATTTAGGGTGCTACATTAGGGTCCCCTGTTTTCGGAAAGTCCCATGTTTTTCTGGAAACCAGGACCAGCTTATAGTTTTAGCTTAAGGTTTGGGGCTCGGGTTCACCAGCTAGCCCATAACTCAGGGTAGGGTAGTTTCAACTTTCCTTAAGCAAACCCCAAGCACTATATCCTAAATCCGTTTATACTCATTATGCTGAGACTGACTCGTAAAAACAGCCTACTATCTACATCCCATAAGTCGGTTCGAAGAGTTGGGTGACCCAGAAAGGGCGCGGGCATTTGCGGGGAAATGCCTGCAGACCTTGTTGGCCTCATTTACAAATCGGGTTTACATGTGAAGGAAGGGGGACGGTTCAAGAGCCAATCCGTATGTGCGAGTATATCTGTCGGTCGGTAGACCTGCATGTATGCATGTTTATGTATGTATGCGTGTATGCAGGTACGTAGGTGCATGCTTACCCATTACTTGTAGGTGAAACTTCTGTTAGTGGCTCATAGGATGTACAAGCGCGAATATTGAGAGGGTAGAGAGGGTAACGTTGCGGATGGACAGTACTCAGATTCAGAAGATGCGGCAAGCCGGCCCTGTATTTTACTTGGGTCCTAGCGTCACGGGGCTTGTAATTGGTAACAAGACGGAAGCTGCGACAGAGGGGTTGGGATCACAGCTGTGATGCGCAGGCTTTGACATGATGCGAAGTCCTCCAGGCGCATTGAGCGGCAAGGCTATCATAAATCCTAAGAGCCCCAGGCCTTGCAGCTGGGTTCCTGCTCCGGAGCTGTGATTTGTTACGAAATGTATGTAGGAGTATATTGTGAACAGCAAGCATTCTGCTTTGCATGTCGCGACTTACAGTCTTAAACTCAAGATCCGTAACAAGAAATCTGTCTTCGAGAGATGGTGCTTGCTGATCCTTGCCGGCGACGGTTGGCCGGAGGGCTCCCTTGAAATGCACCATCTTCCTTCAAGGGTCTGGCACTAGACTTTGTACCGTCTTTAGGCCTTGACGCATACCCGACATACTGGTCCAATCTGTCAGAATCCATTCCTGGAAGCTCCTAAACTGCCCAAAACCCGAAGCCCCACACCCTGAATGGCGAAACCACGAACCCCCTGAAACACAAAACCCTTCTGATTCTGTGATCTGGATCATGGCCTAGAGGCCTCCATCTTGAGATTCCAGTTTAGGGTTCACTAAAGGGGCTTAAGAAATTACAAATACTATTTTGGGGTTCCTTATTGTAAGTATAGTATGCGACCCAAAACCCTATTCTAATTATTGGGGCCCCTTTAGCCGGGGTTTAAGTAGGGGTTCAGGGCTTTCGGGCTGCATAGGCTTTGAAGGCTCATCCCAACTCCAAGCTCTTCTGGCCTTTTTGTATGGACTTTGTTGTAAGCCGCATTGTACAATCTCTAAACCCTTTTGAAACCCTAAATCAAGACTTAATCTCGGTACAGTAGGGTCTTATTGCAAGCTATGCAATCTGAAGTTTGGAGCGTCGTAGTTTAGGCAGTATACGCTGACACCGCCGAGTGTGTATAGGTTCGTGTGTGTATATATTTATACACATATGCATATGCATATACATAGACATAGACATACACATATACGTATACACATACATAAACATGTTGTATACATATACATATACATATACATATACATATACATATACATATACCTATACGTATACGTATACGTATACGTATACGTATACATATACATATACATATACATACACATATACATATACATATACATATACATATACATATACATATATATATATATATACATACATATACATATACATATACATGTACATGTATATTCAAAGGGGAACAGGAGGGACCCTTAATGGGGACCCCTACCTTATACTGGGCTATATAATATGGGTATATAATACCTATATTAAGGGTATATACCTAGGGGTCCTTATTAAGGGTAGCCTTGGATATATAAGTCCTTAGATCCCTACTTGGAAGGGCAGGGGACTTAGTAAGTAGGTTATAAGTAGAGCTATAAGTACCCTAAATGGAGTTACCCCAATTAGAACCCTACTTATGAACGACTTACTAAGTCCCCTGCCCTTCCAAGTGGACTCTAAACCCTAAGCCCCATAGATCCCATTAAAAGGCACCCTATAGATCCCTTTAAGGAACCCTTTAAGATCCCTGACTAAGTCCCCTGCCCCTCCAAGTAGGGTCTCAGGCTCGGGAGCTACTCTGCCATCGACTGGGAGCCCGGTCCACTGTCGCTACGGCAGTTTCGAGCCAGGCTGGGGTTCTGAGGTTTAGGGCTTCAGGGGTTTTAGGGTTTAGGGGTTTGGGGGTTTGGGCCTTCGGGTTGAGGGGTCTAGGGTTTAGGGTGCTTGGAGGTGTTTTTATAAGGGTTTGTAAGGGCCTTACAAGGTTGGAGAGGGGTTTTCCAATCCTATAAGCCCTGAAACCCCGAAGACCCTCTCAGACCAGAGTTTATGAGGATGTTGTCGGGCTTGACAAGATGTTTGTGAGGGCGCTTCCGTAGTTATAGCTGGGGTCATAAGTCCCCTAATGTAGGTTATAACCATAGTTATCCTACTTGTAAGCCTACTTATAACTACCCATGAGCCTCCAAGTAGACCCTAAACCCTCATAGACTCCCTATAGATCCCTTCAAAGGGACCCTCAAAGGAACCCTTATAGCTACCCGAACCTCCATACATCCGGGCGTCTATGGCAGCCGAAGCCCAGCATCCTGAAACAGTTTACTTTGCTCTCGAACACCAACACCGAAGGTTTACACTTCCGTTACCCCATTCCCTACCAAGAACCCCTATGTAGATCCCTTATAGAACCCTTAAAGGAACCCTTATGGACCCCTTTAAAGGAACCCTATGGTATGTTCCTCATTATGGGTAACGCAGGATTGATATCATCAACTGTATGTTCATAGGGGTTGCACCGAGAGATCAAAGAGCCCAAAAACTGTAACCCATCGGTATATGGGCTTCCAGGGTATGGTTCCGAAGCTCGAGACACATAATCAGTTTCCGTGGGTATGATGGAAACAAGTGAACCCTTGAAGCCAAATTGAAACCCGGCGTGCGAGAGCCTGAGAAACTGCAGCCCATAAACCTTACTACAACCCAATACCCTGACCCAAGACCGTAAACTCTGAAGCCTACATGTACCGTGAATCCTAGCTCCCCCTATGATAACCCTAAAGCCTTTCAGCCCTAAGCGTGCTCCTCTGTAAACACCAGGCCCCGCCTACCCAGCACAAGCTCGCTGCGAGGTGCCTTTACCTGGAGG